TGTGTAACCCTGGGAATCAGATTCCACCCCTTTATACAGGTTTGCTGTCTTTTTTTGTGAAGGCTGCAGTTGTCTGTTTGTGACTTTTCCAGACTGTTTTTGCAAAGACTGTATTTCTTGTCATAGGTGCTCACTGAACACTCCCTTCTTTTAGCTTGTGTTCCAGAAGGGTTTTGTCAGGGAATTCCTTGAATGCTGGGAGCTAAAAATAAAACAAACAAAAAGCTCATTTTTATGAGGTGCTCATTCAACACTTAACCAAGCTGTTTACAGCTCTGTCTTAGCTAAAGTTTAATCAGAGGTTAAAGCTTAGGGTCTTATTATGTCCTTTGCGTGTATGTGTCTCACCCTGAACATGTTCATGGGTTTCTGCTGTTTTCTAGAGTAGTGAGAAAGTTCGTTCTGAGAGTTTTTGCTTGTTTTCTCATGTTTCTGTGAACGGACTGGAGTTTGGAGCTGCCTACTCCACCATTTTGTTGATAACCATTTGACTATACTGTTTTGCTTTTAATTCCCTCCACCCCATCTCCTTGCTTTAATTTGGAAATTTGCTCTCTCCTTCCCCCCCCCTTCTGTTCTACTTAGGAAGATTGATTTTCTTCTATTCTTAATTCTGTTACAGGTATTGACATTTAAAAGTTTTACCTCCCTCTTTATTGTTTGGAAGTTACAGCGGGTTTTTCTGTTCTTTTAGTGGCTACCATTAAAAATTTAACTTGAACACCTAATTTTTAGTCTGAAGTTTATCAGTGTCTTTACTTTTTCTCTCAAGCAATACCAGCACTTAGAATGTTTTAAGTGGGATTACTCTTTCTTGTCTTCCATGGTAGTGTTGTTCAGGATTTATAGTTTCATCTCTTTATTTCTTATAATTAATCATTATTTTTGTTATACGTTAAGATTTGTTTAGATGTAATACTTATTTGCTGAATTCTTTGCTCAATATTTCTGCTTTATACCTTAGTTCTTTATCCTGGAATCCTTTTTCATCTTTTTTTTTTTTTTTTTTTTTTTTTTTTTTTTTTTTTGCGGTACGTGGGCCCTTCACTGTTGTGGCTTCTCCTGTTGCGGAGCACAGGCTCCAGATGCGCAGGTTCAGCGGCCATGGCTCACGGGCCCAGCCACTCCGCGGCATGTGAGATCTTCCTGGACCGGGGCACGAACCCATGTCCCCTGCATCGGCAGGCGGACTCTCAACCACTGCGCCACCAGGGAAGCCCCCTTTTTCATCTTTAAGTACATATTTTGGAAGTCTTTTTAGTGAGGATTTGTTGATGGGAGCTAACGAGTTTTGTTTTGTGTTTTTTTTTTAATGTTATTTATTTATTTGCTTACTTATTTATTTATTTTTGGCTGCGTTGGGTCTTCGTTGCTGCGTGCTGGCTTTCTCTAGTTGCAGTGAGTGAGGGCTACTCTTCATCATGATGTGCGGGCTTCTCATTGTGGTGGCTTCTTTTGTTGTGGAGCACAGGCTTAGTTGCTCCATGGCATGTGGGATCTTCCCGGACCACGGCTCGAACCCATATCCCCTGCATTGGCAGGTGGACTCTTAACCACTGCACCACCAGGGAAGTCCAAATTCATTTTCATTCATCAGAAAATTCTTTTTTTTTTTTTTTTTGCTCTTTTCTTGTAGGTTTAGGTATGAATAAAACCTTGGTTAATTTATTTTGTTTTCTCAAAACTATTAAGATAGTCTCAAACTTCTACTGTCTATTACTGTTGAGAATTTAGGTGTTTTATGTTTACTTAATATTTACCCTTTCTGATGTTGTTTATTCCTTCCTGAAGTTCTGGGTTTTTGTCTAGTACTATTTCCCTTCAATCTTAGAAAGTTGTATTAGCTTTTATGTTGCAGTGGTCTGTTAGAAACATATTCTCTCAGCTTTTGTCACTTGTAAATGTGTTTATATTCCTTAATTTTCTGAAGTTTATTTTAGTGGGATATAGAATTGACAGTATTTTTCTTCCAGCACTTTAACTCTGTTTCTCTTTGTCTTCTGGCCTCTCTTATTTCTGGTGAGAATTTAGCTGTCACTTATCTATTTTCCCCTTAATGTTATATGTTTTTCTCTTTGCCTGCTTTAAAGATTCTTGTCTTTATTTTGTTGTTCAAAAGTGTGATTATGATATGCCTAGTAGTGATTTTTGAAATTTATCCTATTTGGGGTTCACTGTTTCTTGAATTTGTTAGTTGGTATCTTTCACCTGTTTTAGAAAGTTCTCATCTGCTGTCCCAGCAAATACTTCTCTGCCCCATTCCAATCCCATTTCCTTCTAGTACGCCAGTTGTACATATTGCTTGTCTGTTTGGTATTCTTTCAGAGATCTTAACTGTACTGTTATTTATTTATTTATTTTTTGGTCATTCTTTTTTTTCTGTTTTTTTTTCATCTTGGATGCTTTCTGTTGACCTGTTTTTAAGTTCAGTGATTCTTTCATTTACTGTATTCAGTTTGCTGTTAATATCTGACAGCATAGTTTTATTTTTAGCATTTCTTTTGAATATATTTGTAGATCAGTCTCTGCTAGAATTCCCTGTATTCTTATATTCTTACATATTATCTTTTCAGACTAAATTTTAGAATTTCTACCATAATTAATTTACATTCTTTTTATTATTTCAATATCTGGGCCATTTCTGTGTCTGTCCCTTATCCTGTTTCCTCTCTTGACCTTGGATCACAATTTCTGGCTTCCATGTATGTTTTGTAATTTTTTATGCCGAATATGTTATATAAGAGACAGTAGAGACTAAAGTCAGTAATTTTTATCTTCAGGAATGGGCTTATCCCTTCTTTTTCCATTCTGTTAGATTGTTGTGGTAGATTTTGTTAGTCATGTTTGATGGGGTCCTGAGTTAAGCTGACCTATGGCTGATATAGACCTGGCCTTTGACAACTTTGCTTTAGTTTATCATTACTTTTAAATATTTTGAGTGTAGGTTCAGGAAGTTTGTTTTTTTTTCAGCAGGGAAAAGTGAAAATTGGTGAGATCTCTTTGTGCTTTACTGCTAAGCCTCTAGTTTTCTGAACTGAGGGAGAGCAACCCACCTGGTTGTTAGTTCTCTTTGCTCCCCAGCTTTTTGTGCCAACAAGTGCTCTTTTCCGGCTAGCCTTGCCCAGATCCTAGTGTGTAGCTGCCTTATACTCTTATAGCACCCGCGATGCCTCAGTGGGGTGTCTCTCAGCTTTTCTGTGCCACCTCCAGTCACCAGTTGTTAAATGCCCCGAGAGCCGCAGAGGATCTTTCTCAGCTTTCTTGCCTTCTCTCCCGTCTCCGCTGCGCTGCCTTGTGCTTGGGGAGACTCCACACACTTCATGGGTTCATATCTCTCAGTTCTCCTGCTCTCTCCCCCTGCCCCGCCGTTGGTGTACTGACTGCGTCCACTTGGTGAACACCTGTGGGAGTCAGTTGCTGGGTAGGTGTTGATGGTGCTCCTTGGAATTTTAGTTTGTCACTCCAGTCCACATGCAGTCAGTTGGGGTTTGGCTGGTTTCTCCTTACCGTGTCTAAGGCAGGTTCTTTATCCTCCTGCGTCTTTGCCAGGTATCAGAGCACACCCATACGAATCTCTTCTGTCTCAGCAAAGTCTTGTCCCTGTTTGCAACTTAGTTCGTGTAGGTTTCTCTTCACTTTTTAAAAAACTCATTTTGTAGTTAATCTGGCTTATTTTTGGCTAGTGTGAGAATGATCATTATCCTCTGAACTTCTCCTACTTAGTACCAGGAGGTTTTTTTTTTTCTTTTCTTTTCTTTTTTAATACTTCCAGTGATACTGCTTTCAAAAAATAGAGACTATATTCTCATCAACTTTATATTTCTTATAACATTAACTATAATGATAGGTAATGTTTATTAAGTACTTACTGAGTGCCAGGCACCTTGGTAAACACTTTAAATGCATTGTCTCATTTAACGAACTTGGGAATAGGTGTTATTATATCATTCCCATTTTCCAGATGAGAGATTAAGTAGGTAGGTCAACATTATATAACCAGTTAGTGGCACTTTTGAGCTCAGGGTTGTCTGTATCTGGAGCTGAGTTTGCAGATTCACATCCCTAGGTGGGAAGGATATGTAAATAAATGAGTGAAGTGAGTAGGGTGTAAAAAAATAACAAAGCAAGTAGCATGATGAATGACAGTTAACATTCAACCTAGATATTGACTAAAACATAAAGAGTAATCACTTCTGTGACAAAGTCTCTGGGAGAATACTTGCCTCATTCAGAGGCGGGTGGTCACTTAGCTCCAGCCACTTGTTGACCATGTGAGAATATGGGTCTAGTAGTTCAGATTTTCAGATTTTTCGATAGAAGTCAGAAATCTGTATTTTTCATATGAAACCGCTTAGTTTCTGAATGTTAGCTGCTGGTTCAAATAAAAATAAAATAAAATCCAGTGTTCAGACCTGCATGGTGAGTCTGAAATAAAATGTGTCTACAGGCCCAACCTGTTCTATGGGCAGCCAGTGTGCAGTCTCCGTAATAGAGCCTGAGCTCTTTTAGACCACTGGTCACGCTATCTCTCAGGGCCCGCCTGAATGCCTTCCTTTCACATTTGTGCTTTACCTCAGGGATGTGAAGGCCTGCTTTGGAATGAATGTACTATTTTATTTACTGCTGTTATATCGTTGTGCTAGTTTAGATATAAGCTACAAAGAAAAATTTTAGAAACATATTTTTAATTTCTTATTTATTTTTTAAATTTTTATTTTATATTTGAGTGTAGTTGATTAACAATGTTGTGTTAGCTTCAGGTGTACAGCAAAGTGATTCAGTTATACATATACATGTATCTATTCTTTTTCAAGTAGAAACATATTTTTTAAAAATCCTGAATTCTTCATTTTATCTGCTTTAAGCAATAGAGTTCTGTTATAAGGCATATCTTACATTAAGTTGATGGGGAAGGACAGGTATTATTGAATGCTTATTTTATTTTGTTCATTAATCATGACTTTCTCTTCCTCTCTTTTGCCCTTTCTTCTTTGACATAGCTTTCACTTTCAGAAGAACAGAATGAAGTGACAAAAAATGGCTGTGAATCTAAAGAGCTGGTCTACCTCGTGCACATTGCTTGTCAGGTAATTTTGTGGATGTGTTCTCCATTTCACATAAAATTTAATGAGAATTAAATATGAATGAATAACATTGAATAAATGAATGAATAAATATGAACAAATAACACTGACTGCGGTAACACAAATGTTTTATTTTATTCTTCCTCCCATTCATATTGGCATTTCTGCATATACTCAGAGTTGAAACACTCAATTTAATAGAGTCAATTTAATAGATATTTAATTTACAAACGTAAGTAAAAATTCTTCCTGTAAGAGTAAAGGAAATAGGACTTCCCTGGTGGCGCAGTGGTTAAGAATCCACCTGCCAATTCAGGGGACACAGGTTTGAGCCCCGGTCCAGGAAGATCCCACATGCCATGCAGCAACTAAGTCCATGCACCACAACTACTGAGCCTGTGCTCTAGAGCCCGTGAGCCACAGCTACTGAAGTCCACGCACCTAAAACCTGTGCTCTGCAATGAGAAGCACGCACACCTCAATGAAAGAGTAGCCCCCGCTCGCCGCAACTAGGGAAAGCCTGCGTGCAGCAACGAAGACCCAACGTGGCCAAATAAATAAAATCCTTTAAAAAAAAAAGAGTAAAGGAAATATATTGTTTATTGATGATGAGGTTAAATGAGTCAGCTACTGGTCACATATTACAATAAAAGAACAGACTAAGTAGTGTCTGCATCAGATGCACACTTTTCTAACCAAGATGGTAAGTTCCACTGTGGTGTAACAATGTGTGTATGTTTCGGAAGTGTGCTATTTCTTAACTCTTAGTAGTAGAACTTTTTTGAGGGTAATTACCATGACTTGCTCTTAATGAGATTTAAAATATGTCATTTGTAGCATTGATTATTTCCTCCATCAAGTAAGCAGTTAGTTCCTTTATTTATTCTTTGTTCATTGAGCCTTCTTGCCTATCTTTGAACTAGTCATTGTAAAGCAAGTGTTTTCGAGGAAAGCTTTCTTATGTACAAAGTTTTTAGTTTTCTTTGAGAGAGTAAGATAGGGGAGTTTATGGTTTGTTTTTTTTTTCTAAAAAGTACTATTCATGTACCTGAAATTAAAAATTAAATAGTCTGGAAAAGTCTAATGGCTATTTCATATGGGAAATACTTAAGTTCTTAGTCTTGGTGTGACTTTAAGGGCAAACCTTTTATAATTAAGTGCTTTTATTTGTAGGTGAGAGAATATGAGATTGGAATTTGAACTTAGTTTGTATATATGTGTTCAAAGTTACATATCATTTATACATGTTTTACTGTATGTCATCTTGGTTCCTTTGAGGAAGTGGGCAGCTCTGAATCACTGTTTCATGTCATATTTCATAAAAATGCTTCTATTTGGTGAGTTAATTTTTAAGTGAAAATATCAAATGCTTTCATGATGAACCATTGCTAATACAGGAATATAAAACATTTTTTCTTTATCTAGAGTACCTGATTGGCATGTGAGTCATGAACTTATTATTCCAACTAAAACCTACACCTTTTAGCATCTTCTCTTCTTACCAGTGATTTCCATTTGTTCTGACAATGCAAATATTTTTATTCTCATAAGCAAAACATAATGTCAAAAATACCTATGCTGTTCTTAAAAAATGACCTTCAAAAGGTCAGCATGGTATTTTGGTACCATACATTAAAATGTATAATCGTTACTTGATTATGCCTCCATGAATTAGTGACCTAGATAATTAAGGCTACTTCCTGGTTGTAAATATCTTGTCAAGCTGCTTAAAAAATTTCAGACTTGTTATACTATTTACCACATGAAAGTAGTAATTTACTGCATTGCCATAATGCTGTCACGTTTCTCCTCTGCCTCACACCGTAAGTAATCGTTGATATGTTCTCATGGCTTACCTTCTGTATTCTTGCCATATATGTCAGCCATAAACCACATTAAACTAGAATCATTTTTTTTTTTATAACCAAGAGAGACTCACAATCAAACCTTCTAATTTTGGAAATGAGAAAGTTGAGGCCCAAATTATGGAAGTTGCTTTCCTAAGCTATATGAAATCTTAGCAGGAGCTACTGAGGACTTCAGTTTCCTGATTGCCAGCTTTTCTTGCATCACCTTGGAATTTGCAATCTACAACAGATTTTAGAGATTGCTTAATCTTCAGATGAGATACGATCACCCTTACACCCTGTAATCTTTTCGTTATAGAAGCTAATTTCATATTTCATATCTTTGCTAATTTCTAATTTTTAATAATGTGCACTTGAAATTTTGTTTATTTAACCAAAATTCTTGGTCCTTCATCTGAACCCACTTTCTTTGCTTTATCTTTTATCTTAGAAAGTGTCCAGTTAAACAGCTGTGATCTTTTTCCTTTCTGTAGGTTAAGTGATATGATTTTTTTAGGTATTACCTTTGAATCTTGTAATGGTGTCTTTGTCTCTGCCTTTTACAGTTTTAATTTCTTTTTAAATTGTGAACCCAGAAATGTAAGCCATATCTTCCATACTGCATAGATCCAAATTCAGTAGGCATTTTTTGATCACTTATATGTCTAGTACACAAGTGTTATGGCATGCAGCATGTCATTTAATTCTTAAAACCTCTGTGAGGCAAATAGTCTGGTTTAAAAACATCAGTTTTTAAGTGTTATTTTTTTTTTATAAATTTATTTACTTACTCATTTATTTATTTATTTATTTATGGCTGCGTTGGGTCTTCATTGCTGCATGTGGGCTTTCTCTAGTTGTGGCGAGGGGGTGTGAACTGTTTGCTGCGGTGTGCAGGCTTCTCATTGCGGTGGCTTCTCTTGTTGTGGAGCATAGGCTCTAGGCGCACGTGCTTCAGTAGTTGTGGCATGTGGGCTCAGTAGTTGTGACTCACGGGCTCTAGAGCACAGGCTCAGTAGTTGTGGTGCACGGGCTTACTTGCTCCGCGGCAGTTAGGATCTTCCCATACCAGGGCTCGAACCTGTGTCCCCTACATTGGCAGGCAGATTCTTAACAACTGCACCACCAGGGAAGCTCCTAAGTGTTCATTTTAAAATGACTAATTTAAACCTAGCTGTTGCAAGAATTTATTTTAACATGTGCCCTGATGAAAATTTGGTTCTGATCTTTCCCCCTCTGAGTATAGTTTTGTTGGTTTAAGAATAATGGTTGCTTAATGAAATAGTTAGTATTTTATTGTTCCACAGTAAGCTTTAGAGAAGTTGAAATGAATGGTTCTTATTGAAGTTGGATTGTATGAACTACCTTTGTATTTACCAGAATTCATCAATGTATAATAGTTTATTTTTTCTGAAGATCAAGTTTTTCATAAATATTTACAGTAGAAGGAAATGGACTGTCAGTCAGGAGGCCTAAATTTGTCCCAACTGTGCCATGACTAACCAGCTGTGTGGCTGACAGGGTCTTAGTGCTCTGGCCAGGTGTCAGGCCTGAGCTTCTGAGGTGGGAGAGCCAAGTTCAGGACACTGGTCCACCAGAGACCTCTGGGCCCCATGTAATATCAAATGGCGAAAGCTCTCCCAGAGATCTCCATTTCAATGCTAAGACCCAGCCCCACTCAACGACCAGCAATCTACAGTGCTGGACACCCTATGTCAAACAACTACCAAGACAGGAACACAAGCCCACCGTTAGCAGAGAGGCAGCCTAAAATCATAAGAAGTTCACAGACACCCCAAAACACACTACTGGATGTGGTCCTGCCCACCAGAAAGACAAAATCCAGCCTCATCCACCAGAACACAGGCACCAAGTCCTATCCACCAGAAAGCCTACACAACCCACTGAACCAACCTTACCCACTGGGAGCAGACACCAAAAACAACGGGAACTACCGACCTGCAGCCTGAAAAAAGGAAACCCCAAACACAGTAAGTTAAGCAAAATGAGAGACAGAAATACACAGCAGATGAAGGAGCAAGGTAAAAACCCACCAGCCCAAACAAATGAAGAGGAAATAGGCAGTCTACCTGAAAAAGAATTCCGAGTAATGATAGTAAAGATGATCCAAAATCTTGTAAATAGAATGGAGAAAATACGAGAAACGTTTAACAAGGACTTAGAAGAACTAAAGAGCAAACAAACGATGATGAACAACACAATAAATGAAATTAAAAATTCTCTAGAAGAAATCAATAGCACAATAACTGAGGCCGAAGAACGTATAAGTGGCCTGGAAGATAAAATAGTGGAAATAACTACCACAGGGCAGAATAAAGAAAAAAGAATGAAAAGAATTGAGAACAGTCTCAGAGACCTCTGGAACAACATTAAATGCACCAACATTTTAATATATAGGTATCCCAGAAGAAGAAGAGACAAAAAAAGGAACTGAGAAAACATTTGAAGAGATTATAGTTGAAAAACTTCCCTAGTATGGGAAAAGAAATAGTCAAGCAAGTCCAGGAAGCACAGAGAGGCCCGAAGTATAAATCCAAGGAGAAACGCACCAGGACATATTAATCAAACTCTCAAAAATTAAATACAAAGAAAAAAATATTAAACGCAGCAAGGGAAAAGCAACAAATAACATACAAGGGAATCCCCATAAGGTTAACAGCTGATCTTTCAGCAGAAACTCTGCAAGCCAGAAGGGAGTGGCAGGACATATTTAAAGTGATGAAAGGGAAATACCTACAACCAAGATTACTCTACCCAGCAAGGATCTCATTGAGATTCAACAGGGAAATTAAAACCTTTAAAGACAAGCAAAAGCTAAGAGAATTCAGCAGCACCAAACCAGCATTACAACAAATGCTAAGTAAAGGAACTTCTCTAGGCAGGAAACACAAGAGAAGGAAAAGACCTACAATAACAAACCCAAAGCAATTAAGAAAATGGTAAAAGGAACATACATATCGATAATTACCTTAAATGTAAATGGATTAAATGTTCCAATCAAAAGACACAGACGGGCTGAATGGATACAAAACAAGACCCATATATATGCTGTCTACAGGAGACCCACTTCAGACATAGGGACACATACAGACTGAAAGTGAAGGGATGGAAAAAGATATTCCATGCAAATGGAAA